TATATATATATATTAACATATAGCTATTTATCTGGATTTTTTTTTCAGTAGTGGTTTCTAGTTTTTATTTTTGTTAGTGGTGTGATGGAGGATTTTTGCCTTCCACCCTCCAAATGGATAACCATTCCATTGACACGTCTATTGAATAATCCATGCATTCCTGATTTGAAATGCTGTGTTTGCTAAATGAGGTTGTTTCTGGATACTCCATTTGTTCTGTAATCTATTTTTCTATAGTTCCACAGATACCACAGTGTTCTAATCTCTAAAACTTTATGATGGGCTTTTAAAGATCTGATAAGAGTCAATCCCTCTTGTTCTTCCTTGATTATTTTGTCTTCCAGATGCATTTTAGAGTTAGTGTAGCAAGTGCCATATAATGTCATTTTTGGGTATTGATTGAAAGTGTGTTGGATTTATATATTAGTTTAGGGAGGATAAGACCTCTTCACAATACTAATTTTTAGCATCTGGGAAAATAGGACACCTTACTGAATGTTTTGTTCTTTTATGTTCTTACTCAGGTTTCATGTTATTCTCTGTATAGCAACAGTAAAAATTGCATGGTTTGTGTTAGGTTTGTTCCTGGATATGCTTTTTTTTTTAATTGTTCTTATGAATGGCATCTCTTTTTTACACTTTGCAGTTGGTCATTGTGCTGGAAAAGAATGCCATTGTGCTTAGCATGTTAAAATTTTATCTGGCCACCTGTTGAATTTCCAGTGACTTTCTAAGCTAGCCTATTGAAAGTGCCGTGGGCAGGGCAGTTGATGGCAGAGGTTGGAACAGTTGAAGAGCCCCTGAGTAGGAAGCTGTCCCAGGCTGAGTGTCCTGAGCCATCATCTTAGAAATTGGTATTTTCCCGCATGCAAGGGGCCCAGAGGAATCAGGGGTTTGGTACCTGCCAAGGGGGAGCCCTGGCAGAGAGAGGCACAGAGTGTCAGCCACCAGCAGTAGCAGCCTGGCATTTTTGGGGTGAACCCTTGGCAGGGAAGCAAGCCATATGGTGTTGCTTGGCCCCATGCCACTGCCCTTCTGGTCCTGGCCCGGAAGCCACCTCTCACAATATTCCTGTATGTGCCCTGTTGTGGAATTGGAGGGGGTTTTTATCACAACTTTGTTGTATATCTTCTGAATTCATAAAGGAAGGAAATGGCTCTAAAGACTACAGCATTTCCCAAAGTCAGATTCAATTGGCTCTAGTCAGTGGAGATCCAAGCGCGGGTGGGGGGCATTCAGGAGTCAGATTGCTTTCCTAATGTCAGAGGCACAAGGGCCAGTGCTTGCTTTTCTGACTGATGGCCAGCTCAAGGGTGGTCTGTCGACCCCTTGTTCTTCCATCACCCCTCCCGGGTGCCAGGACACCGACTGCTCCAGTTCCTGGCTCAGGTCCGAAAGGGCATGCTTTTGCTCTTTCCTGGCGTTTGCTTCCAGCCAGCAAGTCTGCCTCCTTTTGATTATGCACATGGACTTGACCTGAATCAGCAGGAGAAATAACACCTTGGCAGTTCTGAGCTCATAGGCTCAGATGAACCCTTTATAGATACCCAGAATTCTTTGCCTCATGACCTCACCTCTCCCAAACTCCTCAGACCTGCCCCCAGCTTGCACTTAGACACGTTATTCAGCTTTTAATTGCTGTTGGCTCCTCTTCCATGTGGATGTTCCTTATAATGTTACCAGCATGGGACAGGAGCCTCACTGGCAGGGGAGGGGGCATGGGGTAACACTGCTCAAACTAGAGCTGTTTTGTTCCCCAACCTCTTGCCCTAAGAACATAAACATTCTGCAGTCCTGGTGGCAGTTTCATCCCTTCTGTCTCTCCCTGTGGTTTGACTGCTTCACTTCCCATAGAATTCAGTGACTACAGCTCTCTTTGCACCAGCTAGCTCAGATGCTATTCACCACTGATAGACCAGGGCAGGGAGCTCACCCTCCAGGAAATGCCCAAGACGATCCACTGATAATGTGGGGAGAAAATGCTAACATTTGTATTTATCCTTTTAAGATTTCTTTTTTGTGTATGTTTTATAATGCACATATTAGTACTTAGAACATATATATTATTGAAAGATCAAAGTCAGATCATCGCTCCAGCCTTTTGGTCTGTTTGCCCTCTCTGATCAGCACTTCCCATTAAACACCTGCCTGTGTGTCTTCAACGACTGGATCTCCATCCTAAATTCTTTCCTGAGTTCTTGAATATTTTGCTGTATCTTCATGAGCGTGTTTGTGATTTTTATTTTGAAATCTCTTTCAGGAAGATTTATTAATTCAGTCTCACTTGGTCCTTTCTCTGGTGTTGAGATTTTACTTTGATCCAGGTTCCTTTGGCATTTCATATTTGTATGTGGCGCCCTCTAGTGCCCAGAAGCTCTACTCTCTGGAGCTACTCAGCTCTTGGAATGATGTCAGGGGTTGCAGGGGAGCCGTGCTGGTACCTGGCGGGAGGAAAGAGCTGTTTCCTGCTTCCCAGCTGCTATGCCTGTCTCCACTGCCAGAACCAGTGGGCCACACACACAGGTGTAAGCCTCTATGTTTTGTGTTTGTAGCTGCCATAGGCAGTGCTTCCCTCTGACTGGCATGACACCAGGGCAGTGTTTGTTGGTTTGAGAGCCAGGTGCGTGCTGGCTGGAAGGAAGGTGCAGCAGGCTGCATTGCACACCACGGAGGGGGCCTTGGAGTTGTGTAGCCAGCCAGGGGGCTGGAGCGCCTGAAGATACTGAAAGTTCCTAGCCTGCTGGGCAGAGTGCACCTGGACAATTTTGTCTACCTATCCTTTCTCCTGAGCAGTAAGCTCTGCGCAATCCTTGCCCCTTTAGTGACCCTCTCGCTGTTAGGCAGTCTCTTAGAGTGCCCACCTTTCTTTTGTCCCAGAGCAGGCAGATATGGATCCCGGTTTTCCACAAGCAGCTGGAATCTCAGTCTCTCCAGGTATTTATTCTCCTTGTCTTAGCTTTCTAATCCTCCTAATCAACAGAACACCATGCAATGTAGATTTGTGCTCCCAGAATAGATCTCCAGAGCTAGGTGTTCAGCAGTCCCATGCCTCCACTCCCTCCCCGCTCTGTTTCTCTTCTTCCTGCCTGTGAACTGTGGTGGGGGGAAGGGCTTGGGTCCTGCCGGGCCACAGCTTTGGTACGTTACCCTGTTCTGTGAGGTCTATTCTTTTCTCCAGGTGTATACAGTCTGGCGCAGCTCTTCCCTGTTGCTCTTTCAGGATTAGTTGTATTAATTATATTTTTGTATTAAATGCAGTTTTAGGAGGAGGCCTCTGTCTCACCTCTCACACTGCCATCTTTAATCCTCTCCGTTAATATCCTGATGGATTTTTTAAGTCCCTTTTCTGCCATAATTTCCACTTCTCATTTTTTTTCCTTCTTTGTTCTGAGATTTATCTTCTTTCTGATATTCCAGGTTACTAATATGGCCACTACTGAAAAACATCCTTTTTGGTCTGGGCCAAGGCCTCAGCCTTCATTATTATGTTTGATGATGTCTCTTCCATGAGCTGTGCCTTCAGTGAGGGCTGCCCATCTAGAGTGGAATCCCCCTGCCCCAGTCTCCTCTGGGGAGGCTCCCCCTTCTGCCAGAGGTGAAAACTAGCAAACCACCTCCCCTTCCTGGAGCCACTGAGAGGGGCTGTTGGCAGGTCTGACACTGGGTAACCTTCTCCCAACCTCAGGAAGGAGTGACACCCCTACCCCAACCAGCTGGCCTCCCAGAACTCTGGGTGCATAGATAGAGCCCCTCCCCAGGAAAGTCTTAGTTAATTGAGATCTTGTGTATGTGTGGTTTTTCATTTCTTTTTTTTTGCTGTGCTCCTTGAAGAAATCAGGAATTTCTAATCTGTCCTCCAGGCTTCAGGGCTGCAGGTTGTAAACACAAGGGCATGGCTTGGGAGCCTGAAATGGAAGTGTGTGCTTCTCTGCCAGAGAGTGTATCTGCCCTAAGGAGAAGCTGCTTTCTGATCATTTGCAGAGAGGCTTTCTTGCCAAGACCAGTGTCCCCTGAGCTGCATCCCACATGGGGCGTGCCTTTCCCCACCTCAGCACAGGCCTTCCTATGGTGCTAGCAGCAGCCCTGCGGACCTTGAGGTGCATCCTTCCCTGGCTGCTGTCCCTTGCTCTCTCCAGGAGCCGAGGAGAACCCAGAGTCTGCATCTTTAGGTGCCTCTCACCCCAGGGGATGCTGTGAAAGGCTGTTGGGATGGAGAGATACGGGCAGGGATGCTTGCCCTCCAGTGACATGGGCCAGAATCAAGCACCATTAATTAAAAATGTTAGTTTATTTTCATTTCCCACCTAGATTTTTACTTGATTTATTTAAATAATAGTTGGTATGTACAGTAAAGCAAAAGCCACAGAAAATAAGTCTCAAATCCCACCACCCAGAAGCAACTACTATTGATAATTCTGTACATCTTCTTAACCTCTAAGATTCAAAAATATTTTTGTATAGATAATATATGTGCATTGTATAAAATTCAAAAGGGACAAAAGGTATGCACTCCCTTCTTCCCACGCAAGTCCCTTTTGAGACAAGCACTATTACCAGAGATATCTTATTTGTTCACACACATTTGGAGGTTTACAAATGAATTTTTCCCTCCACAAATGGGTGCATTCTCTGTTGGCATCTGGCTTTTTTCACTTAATATATCTTGCAGGTTTTTCTGTACCAATGTATTGCCTTATTATTTTTAATACTTCATGGTATTCTATTTTACTGGTGTACCCACAACTTACTTAACCAGTCCCTAATTGATGGACATTGGACTGGTTCAGCATTTGCCTATTATAAAGTGTTCAATGTCTGTCATTTACACATGAGGAGTAATCTATAGTGTAAATGCTGGATCAGTGGGTATGTGACTTTGCTAGAAACTGCCAAGTTGACCCTCAGAGGCTGACCATTACATGTCTACCAGTGATGTATAAATGGCTAACTTTCCTTTAATGAATCATTTCTTTATGCATTGAGATTACATTGGCTATGTACTTTTAAATTTTTTCACATTATGTCAAAAGTATTTTATCACATAAAACTTATTCATAAGCAACAAATCCTTTAAAATTATAACTGTTCATTGTAGAAAGGTGACCTTATTAAATAGTATTTACCTTTTGAATATATATCCTTCCATGTTTATTCATATGCTTTTGTGTGTGTACACACATGTGCACTTATTTATGTTAATTTAACTGAAATGGGATCATACCATTCTTAACCTGCTTTAAAAATTTTAATATATATGAACACTTTTTTATTATTAAAGATGATTGCATTACTAGATTTTTCTAATTTTGCTATTATAAATAATACTGTGATGGTATCTGGGTATATCATTTTTATTTTAAAAATACATTCTCAGGCCACAGAGTATACACATTTTTAAAGTTTCTAATACATATTGACAACTGCTATCCAGAAAGGCCGGGTCAGAGTCAGCCTGTCCCACCACACTCTATCCAGTGTTCGTGGCTTACTTCTTGACACAATTTCATATGAAGGCTGTTAGGAGCTATTGACAAATTCTAAGTAGACAGATAACCAGACTTCTGTTTGATTCCAGTTTTAGGGCCTAGTAGCTCTGTCGTCTCATTTGTCCTCTAGGAGGCATTCAAGATCAAGGTGACCCTCAGCAAAGTGCAGCAAGTTTGGGTGGAGAGACCCAGCAAGCAGGTCTCTAACCCGGGCTATGGAGCCAGCCATTCAGAACTTCCCCTGAGCAGCAGGACATGCTCCCTGGACTCGGCACACCAAGAGCTTTCCTGTACCAGGGCATCGACTTCTGCTCCCTCTGCTCAGCCCCTACTCTTTAGGTCTCAGATACCCCAGCTCCTCTTTCTTGAGTGCTTCCTGCGTACCCAGACCCTTACTGGTGAGGGTGGGCATCCTCTCCTCTGAGGTGGGGCCATTATTGCCCACCATTTTACAGGTGAGAGAATTGAGGCAGAGAAAGGTTAAACACTTTGCCTGTGGTTATGCTGTGGGTATTTCTGGTCCCGCACCCAGGGCCACCAGTCTGACGGCCTGTGGTCTTCACCACCGAGCCTCCCTGCCTCGGGCCACTTACCTGCACCATTAGCTGGACTCTGGGAACAGCTTCAGGCCAGACCTCTCAGAGAACTTTTGTGTGTAGCACAATTTTAAGACATCAGATTCTTGAATATTTAAAAAAAAAAATTTCTATTTCCTGCTTCTCCCAAATGACTGAGAGCTGAGATACTGATTGTAGGCTTCCCTAGAGCAGGCCCACATTGTAACTGTATGAAACGCTGCACATGGTGATGGAGCGGGTGTTAGGAGCCCCAGTCACTGACTTGACAATAAATAAAGAACCTTCCCCTAGATCCAATCTCATATAGACCACAAAGATAAATCAGAGGGATTATGGTTGGACTGTTCAATATGCTCTGTTCTTTTGAGTGTGTGCCCGTGTTTGGTGAGCCCGCTGTGGAACAGTGTGAACCTACTGCACCCTGGCACCTGTGAAGTGGTTTTAGAGCGCTTTTACATTCATTTATGTTAACAGCAGGCTCCCAGAAAGGTATGTGACACACATTGTGTCATTATGTAAATTGTTTTACACCCGAACTTGACAAGCCAGCAGGGAGGCTATTATGATCCTTGGGTTTGTTTGTTTGCAGTTGTATCTTTCCCCCAGAGGAGCAGGCTGACCTTTGCAGAGCCCGCTGGCCCTGCGTGGTCTCCCTTTAAGATGCTGGCAACTCCTTGGCTCAGCAACATGAGCCAGCTCCAGACCTTCCCGCTCTTTCTCCTTTTGTTCTTTGGATCGGAAAACTCTTGACGGCTTCAGAGGAAGTTGAGAGAGTTGATTCTCATGTACCGGGAGAAGAGCACGTAGAGGCGGCGAAACCAGAGGAGCTGGCTGTGGTGGCAGGACATGGCTCTCTGGAAGGACCGGAGAGGACCGGTTACTGAACACTTGCCCTGGCACTTTCTGTTGTTCTCAGCCCTGCCTTCCTCCCACTGACATACCTCATCTGGCTTCTTATATAACCCGTGAAGCTCTCTGGACTGGCCTCCAGTCACGCTCCTACTTACTTTCCCTGATGACGTCAGATGATGATAACGGCAGCCAGAGCCACCCTCTGCAAGCACTATCACAACTCACAGCCCTGTGATTAGGGGCTATTACTGTGGCTTTTATTTTAATGGATGAGTGTCTTGCCGATGGGTTTCATTCCCAGGCAAATTCACTATGGATTCAGTGAGACCTAGAAATGACTATGGAACGTTCTTAGGGTAAAAGGGTTTATTACCTGGGTTTGTTCTCCCAGCGATAGGAGCACTACAATCACATCTGCATCCTTCATTCTACATCCTTGTCTCTGCCTCCGCCCGGAGCACTGGGCAGAGCTCCATATATAGTGACTTACTCAATAATAGCTTATTGTCTATGGGTGTGCAAGCAGTAGCCCAGCAGGAGGCCAGTTACATCATCAAGTAGTTTAGGTTCAGGTAGGATCCTGGCTATAGGAACTTGAATTTTCCCCACAGTGAGGAAACCCATCAGTCTCAAACAGCTCTAGGTGGTAGAGCTGAGATTTGATCCCAGAGCCATTTGAGTGGCTGGAGCCTACGTTCTTCATCACTTTCCTCCACTACCTCACATACATAAACACACAGGGATGTTCTACTGGAAGAAAGCTAGAATGCTATGCTGTAGCTCCTCTGAATTAGGTTAAGCTGGGAAGGAGGAAGAAGTGGAGGAGAAGAAGGAAAAATAATACACATAGATGTATTCACACAAAAGAGTACATGAAGGTATAGGTTCTCCTTGCAAAAATGTATATTACCTTGTTATTCAGACCTAGCCTAATTCAGTTTTTAAACAGAATAGATCATAGTAACTGATTTAACTAGACGTAACATATGTAAGTAGCTCCTGCCTGTTTTTCTCTAAGTAGCATAAATAAACTGCCTCTCTAAGCTAATACCACTGCAAGGCTTTATGCAAATAACTCACTTTATATTCTTTGTCAAAACTTACATGGCTTTAGAGATGTAAATATACCCGTTGATAGGCACAAACTTTAAATGACAAAGGGAACCTGAATAGGATATAGTCAGGCAAAATACTATACAGAATTGTTTCAACAGGAAATACAACTAAAACTTAAAAAATAAAAATTATTTTAAAAAACAAAACAGAGGGAGGAGCCAAGATGGCGGCATGAGTAGGGCAGCAGAAATCTCCTCCAAAACCCATATATATTTTTTAAAATACAACAAATACAACTAGTCCTAGAAGAAAGACCAGAAGATACAGGACAACAGTTAGGCTACACCTGCGAGAACCCAGGGCCTCGCGAAGGGGGTAAGATACAAGCCACGGCCTGGCGGGACCCAAGCGCCCTTCACCCCAGCTCCCAGCGGGAGGAGAGGAGTCAGAGTGGGGAGGGAGTGGGAGCCCAGGACTGCTAAATACCCAGCCCTAGCCATCTGCACTGGGAGTGCAGACACAGTGTGTGGTGTGCTGGATACTAGGGAAACAGGACAGCAAGACCTGTGAGCGGGTTTGCACAGCCGGAGCCCCTGGGACAAAAGAAAAGCGAGTGCCTTTTGAAACTCTTAAAAGGACAGGAGCCTCACAGCTGGATGGAAGCATCCCAGCACACTCAGCCCAGCAGCTTGGAATCCCGGGGAACTCCAGGTGCCCTAACTCACTGGGCAGCAGAGAAGCTCTGAGGCCCCCTTGACGCAATAAACAGCCTCCTGCCCATTCCCCCTCTGGCGTGGCCCCGCCATAGCGGAGCAGCAGCCTGAGACCAACCACGCCAACAGCAGCTGCGTGGAGCCCCTCTGCAGCCACCCGGGCCAGACCCAGAGGCCCCGTCGGCACGCAGCTGCCCAGCAAAGGCTGCTAGGGGTCGCTGTTCTCCCTGGAGAGGAAGGCGACGAGCAAGCGGGAGGGACTTTGTTCTCCCAGCTGACACACGCACCAACTGCCCACGACTACCTCTATCACCATGAAAAGGCAGAAGAATTTGATACAGACCAGAATAACCCAGACAACACCCAAGAAGGAGTCTGGGGAGATAGATTTAACCAATCTTCCTGAAAAAGAATTAAAAATAAAGGTCATAACCATGCTGATGGTACTGCAGAGAAAAATGCAAGAGGTAACGGATAAAGTTGGGAGGCAGAATACAGAAATAAAACAATCTCTGGAAGGAGTTAAGAGCAGAATGGATGAGATGCAAGAGGCTATTAATGGAATAGAAATCAGAGAACAGGAATGCAGAGAAGCTGAGGCAGAGAGAGATAAAAGGATCTCCAGGAATGAGAATATTAAGAGAACTGTGTGACTAATCCAAAGGGAACAATATCCTCATTATAGGGGTACCAGAAGAAGAAGAAAGAGAAAAAGGGATAGAAAGTGTATTTGAAGAAATAATTGCTGAAAACTTCCCATAACTGGGGGAGGAAATAGTCGCTCAGAACACAGAAGCACACAGAACTCCCAACAGAAGGGACCCAAGGAGGACAACACGAAGACACATAATAATTAAAATGGCAAAGATCAAGGATGAGGA